AAACGAGGAAGAAGAGATTTCGGATTATTTCACTTATAAATAGGAGCACCTCCGTAGTTTCAAGTGCATCAATTCTATAGTCGAGAATTAGGTGAGCTCAATGTATGATAATGGCATACAATGCATGGAATTGTTCACGTAGAGAGAGATAGTGTGTGTGTGTGTGTGTTGTGTGTGTGTGTGTGTGTGTGGTGATCAGTATATGAGCTTGTCTTGCCGAGGTTCTAGCATAAAGTTAGGTTCTAGCTTCAGATTTGAGGTATGGGTTTCTTTGGGAACTTATCACTATTGAGGTATTTGTCTTGTTTAAGCTTTGTGAAATTTGTGTTATATTTGATGTATCTCTGTAATTGATATAATTGTGTATATTGGAATATGATTTATATTATTGTTGATAATGTGGATATTGTGATGATGATTATATGCATATGTCATTGCATATTGGAGTGGAAGGATTTTATTAGAATCATTGATAAGACTTATGTCCCTACTGAGCTGTGGTTTCGCTTACCCTATACATTTTAGACCTTGCAGGTTCTTACAAGTTTAAAGAAGTATAGGCAAGTTGATATTGTGTTAGACGAGAGATTTAAGAGTTTTTATTTATATTTGTACACCGATTATGGAGTTATTTATATAATAGAAGTTAGATTTTTTTTTAATTTTTTTATTTTTACTCGTGCGCCGAGCACATAGTTATATTTTCCCACCGACCCTGAGTCTGCGGCGTGACAGTGAGGCTAAATCAAGGGGTAAATATAGAAAATCAAATAAGAAATTGCAACAATAGTCCCTCAACTTTAATCCAACTGAAGAAATGATCCCTTAATTTTAATCCAATTGGAGCATTAACCCTCAACTTTAACCTAATTGTAGTATTGGTCTTTTCAACATAACTCATTTTGACGGTGTTGATGAAAATGACCATATTTATGCATTTTGATGAGTTGAGGAATCAATAATAATGAATTTTTAGTTAAACGATCATTATTCCAATTTGATTAAATTGCTATTTTTTGGTGATACATTTTTGAGTAAATTACATAGTAGCCCCTTAGTTTTGAGGTCTATTACAATCTTATACAACATCTTTAAAACATTTCACTTTCTTACCTCAAGTACTATTTTATTTCAATTTCATACAACCGTTACATTTTTCATCCATGGATCTGTTAAATGCTGATGTGACTGCCACATATATGCCACGTGGCTGCCAAATGTCTACCACGTGACAAATAAAATAATTTTTTAATTTTTTTTAAAAAACCTGCCACTTTTTTTTTCTCTCTTTCTTCTTCTTCTTCTGGGTTCGATCCCTGTTTTTTTTTTCTTCTTCTTCCTCCTCCTCCTCATTCTCTTCTTCTTCTTCCTCCTTCTTCTGGGTTGCAGAGTTCGATCATTTTTTTTTCTCTTCTTCTTCCTCCTCCTCCTCCTATTTCTTCTTCTCTTCCTCCTCTTTCTTCTTCTCTTCTGGGTTCGGTCCCTTTTTTTTTTCTTTTTTTCTTTCTTCTTCTTCCTCCTCCTCCTCCTCCTCTTTCTTCTTCTCTTCTGGGTTCGGTCCCTTTTTTTTTCTTTTTTTCTTTCTTCTTCTTCTTCTTCCTCCTCCTCCTCTTTCTTCTTCTTCCTCCTCCTCCTCTTTCTTCTTCTTCTTCTTCCTCCTCCTCCTCTTTCTTCTTCTCTTCCTCCTCTTTCTTCTTCTCTTCTGGGTTCGGTCCCTTTTTTTATTTATTTTTTCTTCTTCTTCTTCCTCCTCCTCCTCCTCTTTCTTCTTCTCTTCTTCTTCTTCCTCCTCCTTCTTCTTCTGGGTTCGGTTCCTTTATTTTTTTTTCTTTTCCTTCTTCTTTCTTCTTCTCTTCTTCTTCTTCCTCCTTCTTCTTCTCTTCTTCTTCTTCCTCCTTCTTCTTCTGGGTTCGGTCCCTTTATTTATTTATTTATTTTTATTCTTCTTCTTCTTTCTCCTCTTCCTCTTTCTTCTTCTCTTCTTCTTCTTCCTCCTTCTTCTTCTGGGTTGCAGGGGTTTGGTCCCTTTTTTTTTTCTTCCAATTTCAAGTTTAAAAAAAAAAATTAAAAAATTATTTTATTTGCCACGTGGCAGACATTTGGTAGCGACATGGCATATATGTGGCAGCCACGTTAGCATTTAACAGATCTATGAATGGAAAATGTAACGGTTGTATGAAATTGAAATAAAATAGTACTTGAGGTATGAAAGTGAAATGTTTTAAAGATGTTGTATAAGATTGCAAATAGACCTCAAACCTAAGGGGCTACTTTGTAATTTACCCTACATTTTTAAATGGTTTTTAGAACAGAGAGCATAACATTCCGGATAAACCCCAAAACCTCTCGGAAAACTGGAGCAGTCACTGCTCCCTTCAACTACTCAAAAACTGAGCTTCCACAAATTCAACCTCCTTTTCTATGTTGTCTTTGTAATTCCCAATTGAGTTAATTAGATTTAAACGCTCAAAAATTGAATTTCTTTTATTAAACATCCATGCCTTTTAAAATTTTGATCAAGACGCTTTGGTATATTATATTAGGCCACATCAGTATTTCTTATTTTAAAAATTTTTAAGTTAAAATTTTACATATTGATTTCTAAATTTGTCCTTTTAATTAGTTAAGAGAATTTTTTTTTCATCCGGCCATTTTTTTATTCATGTATTTTAGGAGTTGTGGACTCTTTTTTAGGAGATAATTTTGGTTTTTTCGCTCAACATATTTATCCAATTATCTCTTTTAATTTTTGTTTTCATTCAAAACATTTTTTTATCCTAAAATTGAAAAAAATAATTGAAATGATGGACGCTTAGATTTTTTTGTTTGTTTATTATTTAGTATACTTTTTGTTAGATAATTATTTTGTATACATTTGAATTTGTACATATTGTTGATTAGTGATAATGGTACGTTTATTGTTGGTTATCATATATTCGTTTTGTATTGATTGGTACGTTTATTTTTAATTTTTGAGTGTACATATCGTTGATTGGTACGTTTAGTTTTAGCTTTTGGTACGTTTTATTTTAACTTTCAGTACGTTTAGTTTTAGCTTCCGGTACGTTTAGTTTTGTTCTCGTTGATTGATAGATTTTTTTTCACGATTTTGTTACGATTGTTTTTGTATACATTATGGATTGCACCATTTAGTATCATATGGGTACGATTAATATTATACATATCGTTGATTGGTACATTTACTTTTGTTCTTCAACGTTGTTTACTAGTACGTTTATTTCCGGTTTTAGTAGGTTTGTTTTCATACATATATTTTTTTATTGGTACGTTTGTATCATTCTCGATGTTATTTTCTTATATGAATTACTACAAAAATTTATATATGGATTCCTACAAATATCTTAAATGGTATTTTATTTCTTCATTGAAAGGAAAAAAAAAATCAAACGGCAGGGTATTTTATTCCTTAATAAATTGTATATAATAATTTTCTTTTTGTATAATTATCTTTAGAGGGAATCAAACGACCTAGATTGTAGGAATTTGTTTCAAATTCAATATCTCTGCATTTTTTTCCTAACGTGAAGAATTTAGGCAGTAGTGGTAAGATCTGTAATTTTGGTACAAATAAAGGATATTTATGATAGATGAGACTCCAAATTTGTAGGAAAAATGTTTAATTAAATCTCTAAAACCAACAAATGTTTAGTCGAAAACTCAGGCACTTATATCAAAACGCCCCTTCCCAATTCTCCACCAAATTATGGACCTTCAAATCACATACAAATCGAACCCACTTCTCCTTTCTTTCACCCCAATCAGCCACACGTCTCCAAGACCCCTACTTTTCAACCTACCCACAAAGCACAGACCCAAAATTTCCCGGCAAAGACCGGTTTTTCGTGTCATGGCTTCTGCAAATTCAAATAGGTCTGATGGGTTTTCTTGGCTGAGTCTGACTCGGTCCATACGCCGCGGTTCCGAGCGGTTCTGGTTGGATTTTGGTGAGTGGGTGAAGGAAACTGGGTTTGATTTGAAGGAAGTTAATGTGATGGTAGGTGAGTATTTGGAGCTAGTTGGGGACGGGTTAAAGAAAGGTGGGACTGAGTTGGAGCGGTTTAGGACCGAGTTGCTGCCGGAGTTCGTCAGCTGGAATCAGTGGGAACGTTGGAAGGTAAGGCAATTAGATTCAATTTTAATTTCTGTTTGGTTGCTAAGAAAGTAGAACAAGGTAATGGAAGCTTCAAAGTAGAGTTTTTTTGTTTTGATTAAGTTGTGGCGGGTACTAAATATAACTTTGAATTAGCTGAATGAAGATTATTGATAGCAATTCAGAGGAAATGTTAGCTTTTTTATCAGCACACTCTTCAAGCAACATACACAATGGCGTTCATATGGCATGAATCGCATGATGGTTAGTCCTTTCGAAATAGTTTTGTGGAGTGCGAATTATAGAATTGATATGCGAAGTATAACGCTCGTTTTGATTTTCTCAACATGTTATATATATTATTGATATCGGACAATGCTATATAAGCTCTCCAGAATTTATTTAGAGAACTCCAAATGAAGATAAAGTGTGCAGTTTCAGTTGTATTTTTTGTTCAACAATTCGTCATTGTGGATTTAGTCTTTGTTGAACTTTCCATTCTTCAGAATATTTTCGTAGCTATATGTAGGCTAATACCAGTTTCTGCACCAGTTGAAGCAAAACATTCGGGGAATCTCCCTAGCCATTTGAACAATCTTGTTCACTAGACTTTTCAACAAGGATTCAATGTCTCAAGCTTCAAATGATTCTCTGTTCTTTGGTTGTCAATCTTATTTGAGAATAGCTAATATTCTGATCTACCTTTTGCTACTATTCTGTAGAGAGCTTCATTGATTTTCAATCAAGTGAAATTTATAAGATAGTTGCAAACTGTCCATGATCATCAAAGAAATTACATAATGGTATGGTCATCTTCATTTGTTTATTCTCAAGATATAAAGACATGGGAATCTAAAAGAGTTGCTGCTTTGATATTCTATGTTTTTGTTACCTTGGTTTCTTGCCAAAGAATATATGTAGCAATTCGAGCACCTCTCCAATATCGTCAAAGAAAAGAGTTGACAGAGGCTTATATGGAGGCAGTGATTCCTGAACCATCTCCAATTAATGTTAGAAGGTAACTTAAATTTGTGTGTATCTATTCTTTAGATCATGTTGACTACATCACATTTCTGCTTTACAGATTAAGACATGACATAGATAGGTAATAAACAGAAAGATGGGGGAAAGAGGAATAAAAAGAAAGACGCTTTACTGGCTCCTCTCAGTTTTCAATAATCCAGCCCCTCTGTTACATTGTGGGTTTAAGAAAGGCATGTGGAGGAAGATGACACCCAAAGGCTTGACAATGAATAAGTTTGTGGAAGGACCTGATGGAACACTTGTTCATGATAGTTCTTATGTGGGAGAGGATGCATGGTATGATGATCCACAGCTTCCTCAGGACAATGTGAAACAAGTTATTGACAGTGATGTAAAATTTAATCCAGAGGAAAAGAAGGAACTAGAGGAAGACTTGGGAATATCGGGTCAGTGTCTGTCTAGAACTTACATGATGTATTTTTAGTTGGTCTTCATTACAAATCTAGCATGAAAAAACCGTGCGATTTGATGTCTGTGTATATGTGTACTGTGAATCCGCACTGGATTTAGGGATTGTAAATAACTGCAACTAACCGATGGTTATTGTTAAATATCATGTAAAGTTTGCTATGATAGTTGTATTGGACTCTATCTATCCAAAGTGTCTTTGGCTAATTCTTTTGGTGTTTGATTTGCAGCTGAAGTTCAACAAGATAGTGGAACATGGCGTGAAAGGCTTCAAAAATGGAAAGAGATCCTTCAGAAGGAAAAGTTAGCTGAGCAGTTGGATTCTGCCAATTCTAAGTATGTAGTTAAATTCGACATGAAAGAGGTTGAAAACAGTCTTTGCAAAGATGTGGTAGAAAAGGTTACAGAGTCACAGGGAACAAGGGCATTATGGATAGCTAAAAGATGGTGGTTGTATCGTCCTAGACTTCCGTATACCTACTTTCTTCAAAAGCTTGACTGCTCTGACGTAACAATTTGCTCTAACTTGTTTTAGTTATTATTTTCCTCTCCTTTTTAATAGATATATCAAGGAATTTTTTCCCAACATTGTCAGCCAAGAGTACGTAATTAATTTCTGCTTCTGTGATTCTTTTTGGACAGGTTGCTGCTGTTGTATTTACGGAAGACCTAAAAAGGATATATGTTACTATGAAAGAAGGTTTTCCATTAGAATATGTTGTAAGTTTACCAATTTTTTTCATAGGCACCCTCATTTATCTCAACTTATTAAGGCTTAGTGTTTTTTCTTATTTGGTAGGTTGATATCCCCCTAGACCCTTGCTTGTTTGAGATTATCTCAAGTTCTGGAGTTGAAGTTGATCTTCTTCAAAAGTGCCAGATTCACTACTTTATGAAAGTTCTGATTGCATTGGTGCCTGGGATACTTATTCTCTGGCTTATACGCGAGTCTGTGATGCACATCACTTCTAAGCGATTCCTTTACAAAAAGTATAATCAACTATTTGATATGGCTTATGCGGAAAACTTTATCCTGGTAAATTTCCAAATATTTTATCCCATTTTAGCTTCTTATTATCGTTATTATTGAGTTCTCAATGCACTTTATACTCTTTCAGCCAGTTGGAGATGTGGGGTAAACAAAATCAATGTCCAAGGAAGTTGTGTTAGGAGGTGATGTTTGGGATCTTCTTGATGAGCTGATGGTTTATATGGGAAATCCAATGCAATACTATGAGAGAGATGTCAAGTTTGTCTGAGTAAGTTTATCTTGTTTCTTGAAAGATAAAGACTACTCTGCTGGAGTTTTGCCTTGAATATTGCAAATCTTATAATCGAAAATAAAAAGTTCTTTGATAATTATTCCTAACAGGGTGTTCTTCTATCTGGACCTCCTGGAACTGGCAAAACACTTTTTGCGAGGACACTAGCCAAGGAAAGTGGAATGCCATTTGTTTTTGCTTCAGGTGCTGAGTTCACAGACAGTGAGAAAAGTGGTGCTGCAAGAATTAATGAAATGTTTTCAATTGTAAGGAGAAATGTAAGCATTCTTCTCTTTGTAATTTACAGATGTAATATCACAGATTATCACAATGAGATTTCCTTTAGGAGATCATCCACAAAATATTTGTCTATCACGAATCTACGAGTCATAATGTTGTGGAGCAATTGTGGTAACACCGATGATGATTAATATTTTAATTCTCACTGGAAAGTTAAAACGCTAATGCAAAACATGTTTTTGCAGTCTGAATATGGTGCTTTTTATTTTCTCTGAGAACACTAATACAAAATATTGTAATTTACTGTCCTTCCCTCAGGCTCCTTCTTTTGTATTTGTGGATGAAATCGATGCTATTGATGGAAGGCATGCAAGATTAGATCCTCGAGGGAGAGCAACTTTTGAGGCTTTGATTGCACAGCTTGATGGGGAATAAGTATATTATTTGAACAAAGCTACATGCTTCTCATTTTCTTTATATAATAATTTTAATGTTCAGTGTGTGTTCATAAATAGGAAGGAAAAAACTGGTGTTGATCGGTTCTCTCTGGCCCCCTTTATTATTATTATTATTATTATAATTTTTTTCTGTCATTTGCTTTCCACATGTCATCATCACTTATACCAAGTGTATGGAAGTAAGGACCTGTCTTGTTTGCTCATTTTGGGATGTCAATTTTTTAATTGACATTTCCAAATCCACTTTCGGCTTCCCACTCCATTTGGTTGATAAACAAGACAAAAATAAAGAGACCACGTTCCTTGTTTTGGGGAGCAAAGCAGATGCTTTAGCATTGGAGTAAAGCAGATGCTTTAGCATTGGAGTAAAGCAGATGCCTTAGCATTAGGGAAAAGCAAATGCCTTAGCATTAGGGAAAAGCAAATGCCTGTTGCCGTGCCAGATATCAAGTTCCTTAATTCCAGTTGTATATAAATAGGTTCTCATGTAAGGCTTTAGATAGATATCTGATCTCCATTCCATTTCCTTCAAGCTGCAGAGTGCATGGACTGTGCTATGACCACCACTGATCACATCTCGCTGCGCTTTATTTATTATGCTTGTTGCCACACGTTCAGGTCTTGCTATGATTTTTTATTTTTTTTTGGGTTCCTAGTGGGCACCGAAAGGATGTCATATGTGTGTCTGTGTATATATATATATAAACACACACATGTTTCATTGTGCTTTTGATTTTGACTAGCATGTATGTGTGTGTACACACACACATGCACACACAAGGTTGGTCGGTTTTGACTTTCACATGACTTTTTTTTAAGGGTTTAGGATTTAGGGTTTAGGGTGGTGAATTTCCTTGCTTGTTTCAACGGAGGTTCTTTTGCCCGCGTTTGGAGCTTGTTGGAGTGCGTCACCTTTACTGTGTGGGGTTATGCAAATGACTGCACCGAGTTTATGCTGTGTAGTGCCTTTTGGTCACGACTTTCCTCGGTGGTGACTTCATCGTGCCTCTTGCCGCCGCTCAGAAGGACCGTCTTATAGCTACCCTCTTTGCTGTGCTGCTCAAGTTTTGTGGCTGATTGTTTTTTTCGTTGAGGTCATGGTATTTTTCAAGTGCTTTAAGAGCAGCACCATCACCATTCTTGCGAAGGAAGGCGATTTGCAAGACAAGGGATGAAGCTTTACACGTCACTGACTGGTCCTAAGGCGCTTGCTCTTCCCGCAAAAGACAACTCTATGCATATTAAGTCGTGGTCTTCTCAAGTATCTTGGGAGGTGGTAGATTCTGTTCAACCAGATACGAAGAAGATGTGCACCTCGATGATTCTTATCTTGAACTCTTCGCATCATGTTCGTGACAACCATCTGGCCTCGTCTGAGCTTCTTGGTGATCGTATTCGTAACAGAGTTGTGGCTTGGAGTAGCACCCTGTCGACTATTGGAGGAGCCACTTTCGTTGAGTTTTACAAAGAATGGCTTGAAGATGTCTTGAGCCGCTCCAAAGATGTGCTTACCAACATGAACCTTTATCATGTTGTATATGCATCTTTGTTAAGCTATGATTGTCATCCTTCCGTCATTCGTGCATTCTTTGAGCATTGGTGTTCAACAATCAACACACTTCACACGGCTTAAAGGGAGACGTCGATTTCACTTAGGGATTTTCATAAGATAGGAGGGTTGCGAATCCAAGGAAAATTTTATGACGAGGTTGTTACTAGTGTGGAGGGGTTTTCTTATTGCAACAGTTGGGGATTGCCTGTGAGTTGCCGCTATTTGTTTTAGGCGTACCATAAGCTTTCCCAAGAGGTCCCGAGTAAGTCAGGCGTGAAGATTTCTTCCATAAAAACCCACTTTACGAAGATCTCTTCCCTCTCGTCGGACAATCTTTTTTTTTTTTTTTATCAACTTCAATCTATTTGGCATAGTGTACAAATTGTTTCTCATTATTAAGAAAAGGTAACGGAGATAATTCTTTTAGCCGCTTTGATAGGTGCAATTGCCGTGGAATTCTTTGAAAAAAAAAAAAAAAAGAAACAACCTTGCTGGCAATTATTTGTTTGGTCAGACATGGATCAGGTTTTGGTATTGAGATGTCATGAAGTACCAGAGGCGTTCGAAGAAAAGTGGTCGTAACAAGACAACCAGGCTTAAGGGAGACTCGGATTCGTCAAGTGTCATTGGTCAAGCTGGGCGTCGTACCCCTACTGAGTTGAAGGCATTTGAGGATCTTGGCGTGGTGTCAGAGCACTTGGAAGAATCTTACTTAGCCGCTTTCTTAGCTTGTTGGCTTTGTAAGTTCATTTTCCCCAAAGACGACGTCAATTTCGTCCGTCCCGGAGTCTTCAAAGTTGCTAGCAAGATGGCCGTAAGAGAATCTTTTAGCCTTGCTATTTCGGTCTTAGCCAACATTTACAATGGCTTGGGTGTTGTTTCGAACTCGGCCAGCACTGAAGATCGTGCTGTGGTGCTTCCCTACCACTACGTGTATGGTTGGTTGGGTGAGTACTTTGGCACACATTTTTCTTCGTCAACTTTAGACAAGTCAGGGCCTTCTTCACCGACTTCAGTTAGGCTGGGGCCTTTGATGATGAAGTATTCTGGCGCATTTTCTGCGATAGGCCTTGATGATTTGCAGGCCGTGTATATGCATTGGGAGTCTTGTACCCGTGTATATACAAATGCTTCTATCATCTTGCCGGCCAAAGATGAGTTCAAGAACATCCGGTGACCTGTGCTTACGTAAATGGGTGGTCAAAGGTACATTATGAAAACTTGGGGACGGCAAGTGGTACCAATTCTTCTTGCTTACGTAATGGTGTGCGGAGAGATGGTTGTTCTGTGATTCTTACGCAACTGGTACCGCTTGATTGTGTTAGTGCAACTCCTTTGCAAGATGAACCTGTGGTTTTAGTTCCTTAGCATCCATGCTTGTCTTTTCAACATTCGGATGCTTATGAAGAGGCAGGTGATGAAGTTGATTCGTGCAAAGATGGATTTGTTTTGTAGCAGCATCAACAAATTATAAACAAGCGACCACTTGAAGGTGCTCAGGCTAATAACGACGTCAATTTTCGTCATAAGAAGAAAGAAGCGTTTAGGCCTTCTCAATTTGGTGGTTGTGTGTCACTTGATAAAGATATACATATTCATTTCTTTCTTGTGACTTACGTTGCTTTCATTGTTTTAGCATTGATTTCTAACATATTTCTTTGTCTTGTTTAGGCTGGATCTTCTTATTCTTTTGATCTGGCGAACGCAAGCGTTCATTCTTATATGGATATGATATTTGAAGGTAATTAACCTACAGACAGAGAGATTGGGGATCCGCCTGGTGCAAAGCTTGTTCCGAATCCGCCAAGTTGGCCCGGTTTGCCGTGTGTAGGTGAAGGTATGTAAAGGCCAATCATGCATCCAATACCTTTGCCAGCTAGCTCTGAGATCTCTTTAAGAGGGCCAAACATTCGTGGAACTGAGCAGCATATCCGTCGTATCAGACTTCATGCGGCTATGGATGTCAAAAGCCATATTAAAGAGGGGATTTCAAAGTGCCCATTGGAAGACCTTGCGTTGCTCAAGGAGGATTTATCGGAGTTTGTTTTTACGTTTGATGACCTTAAAGTTGATTCCTCGCCCTTGAGAGTTCAGATTGCTGAACTTATGGCCGCCTTGACTCAGTATTCTTCCTTGCGTGCTATTTCCTCGAAAAAATTAAGTCCAGATGTTAGAGCTCAACAACTTGTGGGAATAGACTTATCAATTGCCCAAGTCTGATCTTTTCAGCAAGCTGCTTTAGAAGATTATCAATTCATAGGAACCTCTTTAGCTTCCGTCCAAGTGTGTCTGGAAGCGTTGGTGCGGGAGAGAGAGCAGTTGGGAATCGAAGCATCACGACTTGATGGTGTTCTTTCGGAGTAGGAAGCTACAATTTCTCAGTACCAAAAGATGTCACACCTAGAACAAGAGAAATGTATGGTAATGAAGTCGCCCACCTTATTTCCTACTGATGTGGAGACTTTGAAGACTTTGGAAGGCCTACTTGAGGATCATTGTCGTAGTTTTAGGGACATAGTAATCAAGTAATGTCTTCCTTAAGCCTTTTTTGCTTCTAATCATTTTTTTTTGTAAATACAGCTTTGTAGCCAAATGCTTCATTTAAAGAAATAAGGTATTCACTTATTGAATTTGCTCTTTATTCCTGAAAGTGTTTGTGTTTTTGTTGATGTGACTGTACTTGAAGTTTTGAAGTTTTAAGTTGCCTACGTACCCTTAATTGAAGAGGAATCAAGTCATGACGTAGTTCAAATACATATTTTTTGGATATTTTTTTGTGCCGTACGCAGTTTATGCTTTTGCGGGCCAGGAACATGATCCGTTTGTTTTAGGGGTAGTAGCGCTTCAAGAATCTGCCATTGATGAGACTGATCTTCAAGCCGTCTTCTACCATGATTAAGTATGCCTACGCAATGCTCCTAGCCCCATCAAGCCGTCTTCTGACATGATTAAGTATGCGCCATTGATGGGGTCAGGAGCATTGTGTAGGCATACTTAATCATGGCAGAAGACGGCTTGATGATCGGCCCCATCAACAGCAGATTCTTGAAGCGCTACTACCCCTAAAACAAACGGACCATGCTCCTGGCCCGCAAGAGCATAAATTGCGTACAACACAAAAAAAAATCCAAAAAAATATGAATTTGAACTACGTCATGACTTAATCCCTCTTCAACTAAGGGTATGTAGGCAACTTGAAACTTCAAAACTTCAAGTACAGTCACATCATCAACAAAAACACAAACACTTTGAGGAATAAATAGCAAATTCAATATGTGAATAATTTATTTCTTTAAAGGAAGGATTTGGCTACAAAGCTATATTTACAAAAAAAATGATTAGAAGCAAAGAAGGCTTAATGAAGACATTACTTGAGAACTATGTCCCTAAAACTACAGCAATGATTCTCAAGCAGACCTTCCAAA